GATCTTTGTTAATTATAGAAAAGAAATTATAGAAGTATATAACTAATAAACTCAAATTTATTTCTTATAAAGATATTTATTATATAAATATAAACATCTTATTTAATTAATTTGATAAATTTAATTTATAATAAAATAATATTAAAAATTATAGCTTTTTTTTATCATAAAAATATTCAGATATTAAATATTTAAATATTCAAATATTAATATATTAAAAATTTATAAAAATAATTAAAATAGAAATTTTATTATAAAAATTATTTTAATTTATTTAAACTTTAATATTATTTTAATTTTATAGCACTAGTTTTAAATAATCTAAAATATTAAAAATTATTTTTTAATTTATTTTTATCAACAACATACAATATATTTTATTCCTATTTTAAACAAATTTATTATTTTTTTTTTAATGTATTGTTCTTTTTTGTTCATTGTTTTGTTGTTGTTAATTGTTTGCATAAAAATATTTTATAAAGATTTATTAATTTAATTTGATAACTTGATAAATGTATTTGATTATATTTATAAATTAAAAATATGTTTCTTTTTGGTTTATTTTGTATTACTCAGTACAATATTAAGATTTTTTATTTTTTGAACATATATAATATTACAAGAAATATTGCAAGAGTATATTACATGTAACAAACAAAAATAAAAAATTTCTTGATTTGATATATGCTAAATGAATATTTCTTTTACAATTAACAAAGATACATTGTTAAAGTTAAATATATTAATGTTCAGATATTTTTATGAAATATATAAATATAATACAATTATTTTTATAAATAATTGTATTTCATAAAGTTTGAATACTATTTTACATATCATTTTGTATTTCATTTTGTACATTTGTACATTAAATAATACTAAAAACATTTTATATTTAGAAATTGACTTGAATAAAATATAATGTAAATAATAAAAAATGAAGTTTCCCATTGAAAACTGAAAACTGAAAATATTTACAAGAGTTTTAACATCATTTCAAAATCAAATAATATCATAATATGCTTTGATAATAATTATTTCTTCATATCCTTCATAAATTTCAATACAGATAAAAATCTTATTTAAAATTTTTATTTAAACTTTACTTGAATATAGATACACTCAATGCATATAAATATAAATATATATTTAAATTAATGATAATAAATAATATAATAATATAATAAATAATATAAATTAATATACAATATATAATTAATATTTTATTTTATATGAAAGAACTGAGAATATTTATAAATTAAAAATATATGTTCTCTTATTTTGTATTACTCAGGATTTTTCATTTTTTAGATATATATTGCAAGAGATATGATTTACATATGATTTTATAATAGAGTATATAGAATATTTTATTGTTCATTCAAGTTTTATTAAAATTAAAATTCAATAATTTCAATATAAAAATGCTTATATTAAGATTTAAAATTTTATTCAATTATAATACAAAATGAAAATTTTATACATACAATATATCTAATTTAAAACAAACTTAAATATCTAAGAAAATATGAATAATATGAAAATATGTTTTAAACAAAAATTACTTGATATAAAGAAATTAATAATTTAATATTAATAATTTAAAATTTAATAATTTTTTTATAGATTGAGAGAATTATAGAATAATAAATTGAGATTGAATCATGTGAAGATCAATTTTAATTTTTTAAAATGGAATATATAATAATTTTTATTAATCAACATTAATTAATGAAGTTTATTATTTCTTATAAAAAAAAGTATTAAGCTATTTCTGTCAAAAAACTTTTAACTTAAGAGATATTTTAATTTGAAATTTATAATAATTATATAGAAAGACAAGAAAAATAATAAAATATCATTTCGCATGTTTTTTAACTTTCATATAATAAGTTTTATATATTTTAAATTACAATATTTTTTAAATTTTTTCATACAATTTCATACATTTCATACATTCAACATATAATAAATATACTAATATTAACAAATAAGTCTTTTTTTATAAGAAATAATTGCATCAATTGATACAATAAAAATTACATAATTCCATTTAAAATTTACTTTTATATAAGTTTTATGTATTATTCTATAGAAAAAATATTAATACTGTATAATGTATTTCTTTATGCAAACCAACTTTTGTTTGAAATATTTTTTTGCATTATTCATATTTTTTTCAGATGAATTATTTCCAGAAACTGAGCATAAATAAATAATGTATATACATTACTTAATATAAAAAAATAAAAGGACTTTTAAAGATTAATATGAAAATAAATTTTTATTGCATTAAAAATTATAATAAATAGATGTATTTTATTTTACGTATATTTATTTATATAAAATTTAAAGATATATTGATTATTTTAAATTTGGCATAGAACCTCCTAGATAAGTTTTTAAATCCGTTATTGTAGATTGTATTAATTTAGCTTTTATAAATGATTTCCCAAGTCTTTGATGAGCTATATATCTGTGACATCCGCCAAAAGAATAATAATAATCACCACCTAAAATAGTGAAAAAAATATAATTATACAAAATTAAAATTCCTGGAAAAGTAATATGGTTTTATGGCAAAAATAAATCAATTTACACTAATATAGATGTTAATATATTTGTGAGATACTTTTAACAATTCTAAAATTGAAACAGATATCACTATACAAAAATATCGATAAATTTATTTATTAAATTATATTAATTAAATACAATAAAATAAAGATAAAATGAAATTTCTTTATCTCCATTAATCGCTATATTTCGTCTCGTTCATTTAATATGAATTTAAATTGTTTATAACTTAAATGAGATTCAATTGACATTTTTATATATATTTTGTTTGTTTTTATCTTTAAAATCGAGTTTTTAAAACTATCGACTATCTTACAAATATTATTAACATCTTCTATATGTTTAAATCTTTAAATCATTTAAATCTTTATAATTTATTATAAATAACTATATATAATATTATAAAATTATTATATAGTTCATCATTAAATATTTTTTATATTTTTTAAGAATTTATTACATTTTTTATGTATGTTGATAATTTTATAAATCATTTTAAAAATATAGAAAATATTTTTATTAAAATGATTTCATTTAAATCTTTTCTAAATTTATATAATTTAAATAACATATTTTAATTGTTAAAAGTGCTTAATCTACTATGAATTAATCAAAATCGTATAAAACGCATAAAAATATGTTTCATGTGATAAAAAAGTTTAGAGGTAATTTGAAAAAAATAAATATGATTATATATATTGTATGTAAATATGATTATATATATTTATTGTATAATAATGGCAAAAAAATGAATTTTTTTTAAATATAAAGAAATCATACATGTGTAGAAATTTGTTTTAAATTTTGTTTAAAATAAAAATTTAATATAATTTAATATATTGTTGAGTAGCCTTAACTATATTAATTATATAGACAATCATTTTGGTAGTAATTTTACCAATTTTTTTGTAAAATCAAATTCGATCTTATTTCATTTTTCTATTAATGATTTTTTTAAATCATTTTATTCGAAATTATATATATTTGAATGAAAAATATTATATTTATATTTTAATTTTTAATTCATTTTGAATATTTCAGTCGTATGACTGAAAAATATATTTACTTTTAAACTATTATATAATAACTATTTTAATAATATGTGATGATTTGCTTAGATGGTTTTTGCTATAAAATTTAAAATTATTTAAAATTCCTAATTTTTCGTTACTACTTTTCAAACTTTTACTTTAAATATTTAAACAATAATATTTAATATTTTTTTTATATTTTTATAATATTTATTTTTCATATTTCTCAAAATTATCTATTTTAACCACAGATATACAACTCCAAGCTATCATACTAGATATATCACATTAATTAAGTTCCATATTTAATTATTTAATAATTTTTAATTATTATATTATAATATCTTCCCAAAAAATATATGAAGTAAATATATGTTGTAAGATTTTAGAGATTTTTTTATGAGATTTTTCCCAATAATAATCTTATTTTTTTTTTTTTTATATACTTAAAAAAGTACTTTTTTAAATATTAGAATTAACATTATAGAATATAGATATACACATAATATATAAATATATATTATATATAAATATATAATA